CCACTCCACCACCCCTTTTTCTGTAATTTTTTTTTTTTCCAGATAGGATCTCTGAACTATTTGCTCTTGCTGGCTTCAATCCGAGATTCTCCTGATCCCTGCCTCCTGAATAGCTAGGAGTACAGGCATGAGCCACCGACCCCCGGCTTTAGTTTTAGTTATTTGTGTATATTTATCTCCTTAAGAGTTGTGATGGCTGGGATGTAGCTTGATGGTATAACGCTTGCCTACCATGCGCAAGGCCCTGGGTTTGATTCCAGCACCAAAAAAGGAAAAAAAAAAAAAAAAAAAAAGAGTTGTGCATTATTCTTTTATGGTCCTTCTCCGAGAGCTGAGCCAAAACCTTATTCCTGGTTAGTACCCAACAAATATTGGTAGGTGCTTGAAAAGCGAATTTGAAGAGTATTAGCAATAATTAAATCACTTAAACTTTGTCCCTAAATGTTAATGATAAGGGAAATTTCCATAAGGCTGGCCAATTGTACTGTGTTTATGAAGTTTTTCCCCCAAGAAGCATTAGTGGAGCACCATTGACTTTATTAATATTAGAGACTTTTTAAGAATGGGGTTTTAAAAGATCTCATTTGCCCGAAGATAGCAGATGCACAGTATGAAAATAAATGTATCTTCCATACCAGATGGGGTATAATTCTCAGGGTTTGGAGGATTAGGATTGAGATGGAATGGGAACTCATCACTTAGTCTTCAATGCTGTGCTGATTTTTTTTTTTAAATCAAAAGACCTCTTTGTGACATTAAGCAAATAGATACCTTCTTTTGAATTTTGTATCCAGGATGCAAATAGTATCATTTACACAAGAAGAGTCTGTTTATAGGGCATTTGTCCTGGTTTTGCTGCCTGACTTCTTTGTATCTTCCTCGGTTATCCTTCCTATCATTTGTAATGAAAAGAACTTGATTGCAGTTATAACTGATTTGTAAGGTCAAGTTTATGTGAGTTTTTTCTATTTAAAATTTTTTAAATTTATTTTTTAAATAGGGTCTCAGTATGTAGCCCAGGCTGGCATCAAACTTGTGATCCTTTTGTCTCAGCCTCCTGAGGTGGCATGTGCCACTACAACCAGCTCATTGTTTCAGTTTTTAGTAAATGGTTTGCAGTATTTCTTCTTTTTCCTATTTATTCATTCTGTCTCTGTCCCTAATTCCATGTCTCTGTCTCTCTGACTCTGTCTCTCCTCACGCTGACTTGTAATTACCATGTCATGTAGCGCTCAGCTTCCAAAGTGCTAGAACTACAGGCTCATGCCACTGCACCAGGCTACAACTTACTTTTATTTGTTTAATTCAGATCAGCCTCAATGCTAACTAGATTATTGACTTCATTTACCAGTTTCATTTATATGACTTACCAGTTTTATCATACATATTTTGTTTGTTTGAAATAGTATCTTACTATGTAGCCCGGGCTGATCTCAAACTTGTGATCTTCCTGCTTCAGCCTTCTAAGTGCTAGGATTACAGGTGTGTACTACCACACCCAGCCCTGATTTCTCATTTTATATTTTTATGTTCATATTCTCACCCACTCCCCTGTCCTTCAAATTCTTAGTAATAGCATTGCTACCCATGTGTGCACATCTAGAAAGACCATGCATGTAAGCCATCTTTTCAGCATTAATTTTTTTCTTGCATAGACTAAGTTGTAGCATCTTTGCTGTTACTGAATTGTTTGAATTCTTGATTTTTTTTCTAGCATTTAATATATGACATTATCTGAAGTTGTTTGGGTATGTTCCAGTAGAATTCTTTTGCCTTTCTAGTGTCTCTGTTGTTCCTTATATTGTGTTCTTATCTATTCCTTTGTTTTTATTTTTTTAACATGTCCAATTTTTTGGCAAAACATATTGATTTCACATTGATTGTTGTTATCTTATAACTCTTCGTGTATCTTAACCATTCCTTACTAAATGTGCCAAAGAAATCATGTCAACAGAGATACCTAGACTACTTGACAATGTCATGGCTGTCTGGAAACATGGAATTGTCATAGTTCTGTGGCTAAAAATTGCAAGATCTGATTGAAAAGAGTTCTAAAACAACTGACTGGGATCAGTGGCTCGTACTTGTAATTCCAGCTACTTGGGAAGCAGAGATTGGGAGGACCATAGTTTGAGGCTAACCTGGGGAAAAAGTTAGCAAGATCCCCACTTCAATCAATAAGCTGAGTGTGCTGACATTCTGCTGTGATCCCAGCTGTGTGGGAGGCATAGATATGAGGATTGTGGTCTGAGGTCAGCCAGCCCTGGGCATAAACCACGAGACTGTTAGCTAAAAACTAAGTGAGGCAAAAAGGACTGGTGGAATGGCTTAAATGGTAGAGTGCCTAACTAGGAAGTGTGAGGCCCTGAGTCCGAACCCCAGTACCACCAAAAAAAAAAAAAAAGTTAATGGTTTATCTTCCTCATTCACATTCAATATGTTGCATTCTTTACTTCATTAATTCAATGAGAATTTTCTAGCATTTATTGGTCAAGTACTTCCCACTGATAATATTCCACTTTCTCAAAGCAATTCTTTGTCATTTTTGTTCCATAGGTATTTTGAGGTACATTTTCAAAGTGATTGTAGTGGTGGTTTTCTGTGCTTTGCAACTCAGTGTTGTCAGTGGGCTAGTAACATTGGCAATGATCTTAGAAATACAGGATCTCAGGTCGCATTCCAAATCAGTTGTATCAGGATCTGTATTTTAACAAGATTGCTAAGTGAGTTGACACACATGAAAGTGTAACACACATGTGTCATATGGTTTGTTATCATCTATGTTTGTTTAATAACCAAACAGCATTTACATTTACTCTGGTACTTTCTTACTGACAAAATACCTTTTCCTGTGAAAGCAGTTATGGGAATATCCTTAGAAGCTAGTTTCTGTTTTTTAAAACCATAAGAAAAAAATCATATAAAATGGGAGAATACTCTTTATTTATTGAAAGATGTAAGTAAAAAACTATTAGAAACAGAGTTTATTTTAATATCTGCTAAAACTTTCACAAAAGGCTTGCAATGTTTTATAGATCTTAGAGAACTTGATGTACAGTCTGTTGTGTAGGAAAATTTTAATACAGAGATACTTTCTGATCCTTTTCAGTGAGATAAATGGTGAAACCTAGCTGGATAATAGTGCCGTGTTCTTGGAATTTCTTATTTACTTTTGCACAGGAAGTATTAAGCAAAATGGTGCTCTCAAATCAAAGTATTACTCTTTTAGAATAACTAGAGATTTGATGTCCAGGTTTTCTGTGTCAAGTTTTATTGCTTTAGATTAAAGAAAAGGAAATTTGAAAAAATTGATTGTCCACTCATGATATAAAGAGGAATTGAAGACTTTTTAAAAATTTCTCTTAAGTACAAGTGTGGCTCACTTACAAGTAACAAATTAAGACTATATATTGGTTGATAAGTGTTTTGAACTGACTGAATTACATATTTTAGTTCAGAGTAATTTCAGTGATTTAGTGAATTAGAAGTGTGCTCCTTAACCCTGTTGTTTGGTGGTGCATGCCTGTAATCCCAGCTCTGAGGAGGTGGAGGCAGGAAGAGTGTGAGTTTGAGGCCAACCTAGACTATATGGCAGCATAGCGTGTTCCAGGCCAGCCTTGGCTATGAGACACTGACTCAAACAACAACAACAACAGCAAGAAAATGTGCTTCTTTAAATACTGTTGTTTCTGAAAAGATTGTGGTAATAGGGTTTGAACTCAGGGCCTCATGCTTGTTAGGCAGGCACTCTTACTGCTTGAGCTACTCCCCTTGCTGAGAAGTTGGAAGGCCTCTCTAAGGGTAAGGAAGGAGGGGTGGCATCTGAGCTGGGACAATAATAATGAGAAGAGGATTGTCCTTCAGATAGCTAGGAGAGAACATCATGGTAAAGAGAATAGCAAATGTGAAGGACCTAAGAAGGGAATGAACTAAATATAGCCCATTTAGTCAGAATGTCAACATCCAAATAATATTATTTAGTCTAAATGGTATGCCTAAGGTGTGATGAGAGTGTAAGTGATAAATAGGGAATACCTTTAGGTATGCCAGTGAATCACAATGTAAAATCGATAGTCAACTTCATTGTCCAGTTTAAAAGTCCCTGTGTGTGTTGGTTATTCTTTAGTAAACTAGATGTGACAATCTCTTTGGCTCTAATTGTAAGGCTTGACTAGTAACTCTGGGATTTTGACATTAGAAGGCCAGAAACCAACAAGTTTGATATATGGTGAGGTTTTTACAGCCTGCCTTCTCCTCCTCCCCTACAAGTGAATCAACATTTGCTTTCTAAAATTTCCCTCTCTGTCGTGTTTCTCTGTTGCATTTTTCTATTGTGATGTTTTCACTCCCTACCCTCCAAAATGCTGAGCTTTCAAGATCATATTTATCAGAAGAAAAAATAGTCTCAAAGATCTTAAAATGTCCTACCTTTGAAAGGGGTTGTAATTTGGTATCATAACATGAAAATCAAAGGAAAATTTTTTTGTCATTATTTTTGCTGTTGTTAGTAGAGGAAAAATATGAGAAATATAAGGAAGAAGAACAATAAAGACTTGGGGGACTTTTTAATTTACACATTTTTGGGGGTGTGGAAAATTTTACAGAGAATAATTCCCGCAAATCCTGAGATTCACATTGATCGAGACCCTCCAAGCACAGTATAAAAATAAGGTACTGTTTTGGGGAGGATAAAATTGTATTTGCTATATGCAATTCTGAGGACTGAATTTATTTATGGTAGATTTCATTAGATGACCTTAGTGGTTATTATTTTAAACTAATCTATGCGCATATCTTTAGTGACTCAGGTATTAATAATTTATTCAGGATGTATATGTAAAATATTTTTGTACTTCAATGGAAAGTCTCATGTTTAATAGATTGGAGTTCTGTTTGTTAGTAATTATTCTCTGATTATTGATCTTCTAAGCTTAGGGTTTGGCCTACTGTAATGTGTTTTGCTTATAAGAGTTCCCCTTTTTCCATCTTCTTTTCAATAGCAACATCATGACAACAGAGAAGAGTTTAGTCGTTGAGGCAGAAAATTCTCAGCACCAACAACAGAAGGAAGAAGGTGAGGGAGGCACAAACTCAGGCCAACAAGAAACTCAGCTGGGACAGGCTTCCCAAGTGGCAGCTGAGGGAGATAATCAGTGTGAACAGAAGCTGAAAACATCCAATGGAGACACTCCTACACATGAAGACTTGACCAAGAACAAGGAGCGGACATCAGAAAGCAGGGGCTTGTCACGACTGCTCTCCTCATTTCTCAAAAGGCCCAAATCTCAGGTCTCTGAGGAAGAAGGCAAAGAGGTAGAGTCAGATAAAGAAAAAGGTGAAGGAGGTCAGAAAGAGATAGAATTTGGAACCAGTCTTGATGAAGAGATCATTTTAAAGGCACCAATTGCAGCTCCTGAACCTGAACTCAAAACAGACCCATCCTTGGATCTTCATTCATTAAGCAGTGCAGAAACACAGGTAAGGAAGTACGAATATATGGGAGGTAGGTATAATGGAGGCAGGTTATACACTTTATATTTCATTGAAAAACATTTGGTTTTATTTCTTATGAGCCAGTTGACATAAGCATTTATAGTGATAAGTAACATGAAACCTTGGATTTTTCTGCTCTAAAGAAATTAATATAGCCAGTGGAAACTTGATTTTTTCAAAAAATATTCTCGATGAAAAAAGTAAATGAGTTTATTCAGTCCATGTACGTTCCTTACTATAATATTGAAATAAGTTCAAGATGTTTAATGAGAGAGCAAAAAGAAGTGAGGTAATTTAGAGTTTATTTTGGTAGAATTAGGAATGGGATAGTTAACAGCCAATATGGTCCTTATATGAAAATCATTGTAAAAGCTATGTGATGAATTCAAGCCATCTGGGGATATGTGATAGATTTGAGCCACATCTGCCTTATTTTAATCATCTTCTCTAACTAGATCACATTACCACAGAGTGTAAGATGTAGATGAGAAAGTCTAGCTCTTTCTATCACTTGTGTGATATTTATTAGTAGAGGGCCTTAATTTTTCACAGTGCAATTAAAGTAAACATGAGTTGTTCCTTTGTTCAAAATCCATGGGAAAATATTAGTATTGTAACTCAAACTGTTTTTCAGGAATCTCATTTGTTTTCAGCCTTGCTACCTACAAATTAAGAGATATTTTCAAAGTCTTATTTCTGAAGCATATGAACATTAGCTCTATTATTAAAAGTATATACATTTCTATGACCGGTCTAACATTTGGGCTATATAGTTTTATTAGAATTTTCTAAAAACATTACATTATATTTCTAGAAATATGACTTGTATATTCAGAGTTCTATGGTTATAATTAGGGTAAAGTGGAAATTATGTACTTGCTGTTACTGAAACAAAGTTCAAAATAAGATTCATTATGTAACAGTTATGAATGCAAGCTGTGGAATCAGTAAGGAGTTCAAATCATGGAGAAGTAGTGCTTTTCACTTCATAAGTTTCCTCCTTAATACAGTGGGAATAGTAATATCCACCGCATTTGGCTATTGTGAGGAGTGAAAGGAATATATAAAACTTAAAGGTAGTGAGCACCCAATAAATATTAGCTTTTAATACTCAGTAAATAAACATAAACAGTAAAGGCAAAACCCCCCTATAAATATTCTCACAAGCTTTTATAGAATAAACACCTTAACATTTAAGATAGAAAAAGAAACCCTATGTAATCTTAACAGCATTAATTTTAACTTAATCTGATTTTTGGGCTATCAAGAGTTAAATTATAGTATCTTTCAGGAAGCCTAGTACTTCCAAAAAATTTTTAACTGTTTTCCCCACTTCTGCTTGATGTAGGAAAAAATCCATATCTTGTTTTAGTTAGCATTTGAACTAGAACTTGTCTATTTTTTCTTAAGATCATAAATTTGTACTTAAATCTATGAAATAAATGACTGACAGAATTATTTAGATTGAACTAAAATCTCAATAAAACTTAATTGACCCTTGGTCCTTCCTATTATTGCTTATACTCTCTCTTCAACAAAATTAGAGATAAGGGCAAAATAGTTTCTGCCGAGTATCGAGGGGGTGGGGGTGGGGGTAAGGGAGTGGGTGGAGGAAGGGGGGAGAAATGACCCAAACATTATATGCACATATGAATAATAATAATTTAAAAAGACAGGAAAAAAAAGACTTAATTGAGAATTGAGATAAGTTGTATGCAGGTATTTGTGTATGAAGAAAAAGAAACTAATACTGTTAATAAAATTTCAAGGGAATAAGGAATAAACTATTTTAAACCTTTGGAAACTAGTATTTAAAATTAAAAAAAAAAAACTGGCTGATCAGAACTTTGTGAGTAAAGGTTTATTTATTTACCTAACCATGGTTCTGTATGTATAGTAGAATTTCATTTCGGTGGTCCCTTTCTATCCAGGATTTTTTTCCGGTGCTGGGGATTGAACCCTGGGCTTCACACATGCTAAGGCAAGTGCTCTTCACCACTGAGCTATATCCCTAGCCCATATCCAGGGTTTTGGTTTGTTTGTTTGTTACTGTTTTATGATGACTCTCACTGTATAGCCCAGGCTAGTCTGGAACTCCTGCCTTACTTCTCAAGTACTGGGATTATAGGCATGTACCACCATGCCTGGCTAGGATTTTGTAAAAGTGAGCTTGCATTATAGGATTGCTCCAGTCTTCATTCACGGTAGATTGGATTTTTGGAAAACCATCTGTCAGTTTTTAATGCTTATTCATTTATTCAACAAATACTTATTGAAAAAAATGAACCATGTTGTGCTAGGCCCCAGGATGGATATACCTTGACAAATTAAAAACTGCAATGTGATGAGGGGTTTAAGATCATGATTCTGGAGCTAGACTGGTACTATTAGTTATACAATCCTAGGCAAGTTACTTTAATTTCTGTGGCTCTAGTTTCTTATCTTTCAAGTGGAGATAACAATAGTACTTGTCTAAAGCGTTGTTACGAAGATTAAATAAGTTACTATAAGTAATGGTCTTGAACAGTAACTGGCCCATCGTAATTGTTATATAAATGTTTGCCATTATTATCATAGAACAGATATGATCCCTTAGCTTGTGGACTTTATACGCTAATGGAGGAGAGAAATAGTAAATACAGAATAATTATTTTAATAAGTTATGAAGCAACAAGCAAGGTAACGACGTGAAAAATAGTAGAGTGAAATAGGACAGGTATATTAGCCTACTGCCTATATTTGCTTAATGTTCTAAAATAAGTCCCAAGCACTTCTCTTGTAATTTCACAAGTCACATATTATTTTGCAGTTCACAAGGGTACCTTGCTAAAATTGAGGTATATAAGACAGAGGAGATGAAGGGTTTTTTTCCTATTAATTAATTTTTGTTTATTATTTCCCATATTTGGAAAGTTCTTTTTTTTTCCTTTTTCCTTTTATTTTATCATTTTTACATTTACTTACCTGTGTATACATTGTTTGTGCCACCTCCCAAACAATGTCTTTAATAGTATCAGATAATGTCATAATCAGGAATAGTATGTAATGCTGAGAGTAATAGGTTGGTATCCTGTAGTTTACTTGAAACCTTCTGTTATTGATTTATTTGATGGGATTCTACCCAAAAAGGTGTTTTTGGTTTTTTTGTTTTTTGTTTTTTTTTTTTGGTGCTAATGGGGTTTGAACTTTTACTCCCACTTGCTAGGCAGGCAGGCAGGTACTCTACCACTTGAACCTAAAAGTTTTAAGAATAGTAAAGTCTATAGATATTTTGGAGGATCATAATATCTTTTATAGAAAAATGACTATTTAATATTAATGTCAACTATCTTTAATAGTTTTTCTTATTCAGTTAATATTTATACTGGTAGGATTACTATAGGTAAAAAATAGCATGTTTTGTGAAATGTCTTCATTACTGACTTGGTGATGTCATGGATATATAGCCAGCTCAGGAAGAACACAGAGAAGATCCAGATTCTGAAACTAAGGAAGGAGAAGGACTTGAAGATTGCCCCAAAGTAGATAAAAAAGAAGATCCTGAATCAAAAGCAGAAGGAGAATTAAAAGCTTCCCAGAAATTGGTCAGAAGACACAGAAACATGCACTGCAAGGTTTCTCTGTTGGATGACACTGTTTACGAATGTGTTGTGGAGGTGAGTGCATTTTAGTTTCCAGTAGTCAGGTGCTCACACATTTTTCCTTGTGAACTTAGGAAATGGTGCCTTTGCCCAAAACCCACTCTAATGACTATTTCCATGGATTGAAATGCCAATGGTAATTTTCTGGAGACAAGGGTATAGGAGGATTATGTGTGAGCTTTACTTTTTTCTCCACCTTTTTTTTTAATTTACCAAAATCTTGTGACTATGCATGTATTACTTTTACAATAAAAATAATTTTGTTTAAAAAAGATAAATTTAATTGTCACAATGTATCCCAGCACAATAAAAAAAAATTGTTATAGAGTGCCTTTCTGTAACTAGATTTCCCAAGATAGCCTCAATTTCTGTATTAGTTCCAGCTATCCCTATAATTATATTTGTAAAAAATTACTTTTAATAACATGTTTTATTCCCCCAGATCTAAACCCTTATCTTACGTTTATCTTATATATGTCTTTAGCCTCATGAGATAGTATATAAGAATATATATCAAGTAATACAATTTCTTAAAATTCTCTTAACATTTTCTGGAATTACTCTGTAATCCTAATTTGAAATTTTTTGTTGTTGTTGCAGTACTGGGGTTGAACTCAGTGCTTTATGCTTGCTAGGCAAGTGCTGTATAACTTGGACCATGCCACCCCACTCCCTTCTAACATTTTATGAAAGAACAAGTAATTGAATCAGAATTGAAAAAAGTCATAGTTATTCAGTTTCTCTTGTTCTTTCAGGACCAGTTGAAGTAAAACATCTATTAACTATTTGTTTCAACTGGAATAGTTGCCAATTATGATATGCTTGATATATGAGCAATTACTGTGATTGCTAGTAGCTTTAATTGATAAAACATTAATTCACATAACCTTGTATCTTAACTATACAACAAATTGTGAATTGAATTTTGTACAAATGCAAATCTATCTAAGCACAAGTTGTCTAAAATATTTTGCTGTATTTACTATAGGTATTCACTCTCTAGGGTTTAAAAAAGAAAACAGCTACTATAGCTTGAAACTGGGGAGACTCAGGATCTGTTTTTTTTTTTTTTGGTCATTCAGACGGACTTAGATCCAGATATGGGCCCTTATATCTGCAGCTTTTGGGAACAAATGTGTTTCAGAATTCAGAACAGAATGAATTTAGAAAGGAAATAAGTACATAGTTTGCATATTTCATAATATACTCAGCAGGTTCTGTAGCAGCAGGTATAGGAAAAAACATTATTTCTTTGATTAAAATATATGAAGAGTCATTCTCAGATGGGTAAATGAAGATCATAAATAGCCTCTTTACATACATCTCAGGTCAGAATTTTTCTTCAAATGAGCTTTAGCAACAAAAAAGAAAAAGACCTTTTAATTTTTAGAATTTCTGTATTTGGGATTTTTGAATAGAGATTAGGGACCTGTATATGAATTCCCAAATCATTTTTCTGTCATTTAGAGTGAAAATAGGGGGGAAAAAAAAGTGAAGAAAATGTTGTAATATAAATGAATTAAGACTGAGATGAATGAACAATTATGGGAATAACAAATTGTAACTTAAGATAATTCATCTCATTAAGAAGAGGAAGTGTCATGTGTATGTACTAAAAAGATTTCTAGGGCAAGGGGGTATAGTTCAGTGGTAGAATGCTTGCCTAACCTGGAATTCAATTCACAGAATAGCAAAAAAAAAAAAAAAAAAAAAAATCTCATTTTTGAGGTATTTTTTATGTTCCTTAGAAGGCATTATTAGCATGTTCCTTTTAAAAAATAGGTATTTATATTCTTATTTTACAGATGACAAAGCTAATGTTAATTGAAAGTATTCGGGTGTTTAGTAAATAGATAACTTTTTGACTCTAAATCACAGCCTCTAACTTAGGGCCTTTCCTCCCTATAAATAGGAATGTAAGACTCAAATTGGGCAGTGGTTTGACTCTCTAGGTAAAAAAAAATTAAGAAAATGATTTGTAATACCATTGAAAGAGTTGCTCTAACAGGTAGTGTCTGTATGCCTACAATTTCACTTTATTTATTTATTTTTTCTTTATTCATTTATTCATATGTGGATACATTGTTGGGGCCATTTCTCCCCCCAGTTTTATTTTATGTATTTTTCTGAAAGAGATTGTAGGGGGTTGAGATATAGCTCGTTCTCTTGGAACATTTGTTTTGAAAATGATAGTCTAATGATTTCCACAGCCAGAATTAGCTGTCAGTGTTGACGAGATTCAGTAATTCAGTTGATCATGGTAATGGACAGTGGCTCAGCATGCTTCTGGAATGTAATGCTTTAATTGGATGTGGTGGCACACATCCCATCACTCAGGAGGCTAAGGCAGGAGAATCATGAGTTGAAGATCAGCCTGGGCTACCTGGTGAGTCTCTGTTTCAAAAAAAAAAAAAAGTGATATTTTGTATGGAAGTGGAGGGGGTGGAGGAGAAGGTAGGAGTTTGCTTTGCACTCTTATTTCCAATGTAATTGTATTGCATCTGTATGCTGATAAACTGAGGAACAGGAATTTATAAATTATATTGTTCTATTTAGATACTATGTTGCCATATGAAAGTTTGTTAGTTACCAAAGATAAAAGAGGAAAGTGACATTTTATTTGGTGATGAATACAAGAACAAGAGGAAACCTCAACTAAAACATGTATGTCTTTGCAGAAACATGCTAAGGGACTAGATTTGCTTAAGCGAGTATGTGAACACCTCAATCTTTTGGAAGAAGACTACTTTGGTTTAGCCATTTGGGATAATGGGACCTCTAAGGTAAGGAGGCAATGTATAATATAAGAAGCTGATAAAAAAAATTATTTGGTTTCTTATGTTGTTGTTAACAATCTATTTATGCTTGCCTCTCCAGGATACAGTGTACTTAGTCTGTTCTTATTTCTCAGATTTTCCTTCTAGAATTAACTTAAAAAAAAAAAAAAAGACCATTGCTAGTATGTCCTTTCATTATTGAGAGAAACTACTATGTATTTTGTTTCTTTATTTATTTTGTGGTGCTAGGAATCCAGTCCAAGACCTTGCTCACGCTAGGCAAGTGCGTTACCACTGAACTACATCCTCAGTCTGTACTTTATATTTGTAAAAGGTAGGCAAAGTGAAGATGTAAAATGCTGTGATTGGCAATTAGTATTATATCTAATATGCAGGAAATTTATTTATTTATTTAATTTATTTATTTATTTTTGTTGCATTGGGGATTGAATTCAGGGTCTCATGCATGCAAGGCAAACACTAAACCAGTGAGCTATATCCCCAGCCCACACAGGAAGTTTATAATAAATATTTGTTAAACAGTCTGTGATTAATATTATGATATTATTAGCACATAATTATAATTTGCAATCAATGTCATAAAATAGAAAAACAGACATGAAGACCAATGGAACAGAATAGAGGCTCCAGATATGAAGCCACACAACTATGAGCAACTTATCTTTGACAAAGGAGCTAAAAATATACGATGGAGAAATAGCAGCCTCTTCAACAAAAACTGCTGGGAACACTGGTTAGCAGTCTGCAAAAAACTGAAACTAGATCCATGTATATCACCCTATACCAAGATTAACTCAAAATGGATCAAGGATCTTAATATCAGACCCCAAACTCTTAAGTTGATACAAGAAAGAGTAGGAAATACTCTGGAGTTAGTAGGTATAGGTAAGAACTTTCTCAATGAAACCCCAGCAGCACAGCAACTAAGAGATAGCATAGATAAATGGGACCTCATAAAACTAAAAAGCTTCTGTTCATCAAAAGAAATGGTCTCTAAACTGAAGAGAACACCCACAGAGTGGGAGAAAATATTTGCCAACTATACATCAGACAAAGGACTGATAACCAGAATATACAGGGAACTTAAAAAACTAAATTCTCCCAAAACTAATGAACCAATAAAGAAATGGGCATGTGAACTAAACAGAACTTTCTCAAAAGAAGAAATTCAAATGGCCAGAAAACACATGAAAAAATGCTCACCATCTCTAGCAATAAAGGAAATGCAAATTAAAACCACACTAAGATTCCACCTCACCCCTGTTAGAATAGCCATCATCAGCAACACCACCAACAACAGGTGTTGGCGAGGATGCGGGGAAAAAGGAACCCTCTTACACTGTTGGTGGGAATGTAGACTAGTACAACCACTCTGGAAAAAAATTTGGAGGCTACTTAAAAAGCTGGACATCGATCTACCATTTGATCCAGCAATACCACTCTTGGGGATATACCCAAAAGACTGTTACTCCAGAGGCACCTGCACATCCATGTTTATTGCGGCACTATTCACAATAGCCAAGTTATGGAAACAGCCAAGATGCCCCACTGACGAATGGATTAAGAAAATGTGGTATCTATACACAATGGAATTTTATGCAGCCATGAAGAAGAACGAAATGTTATCATTCGCTGGTAAATGGATGGAATTGGAGAACATCATTCTGAGTGAGGTTAGCCTGGCCAAAAGACCAAAAATCGTATGTTCTCCCTCATATGTGGACATTAGATCAAGGGCAAACACAACAAGGGGATTGGACTATGAGCACATGATAAAAGCGAGAGCACACAAGGGAGGGTGAGGATAGGTAAGACACCTAAAAAACTAGCTAGCATTTGTTGCCCTTAATGCAGAGAAACTAAAGCAGATACCTTAAAGCAACTGAGGCCAATAGGAAAAGGGGACCAGGAACTAGAGAAAAGGTTAGATCAAAAAGAATTAACCTAGAAGGTAACACCCACGCACAGGAAATCAATGTGAGTCAATGCCCTGTATAGCTATCCTTATCTCAACCAGCAAAACCCCTTGTTCCTTCCTATTATTGCTTATACTCTCTCTACAACAAAATTAGAAATAAGGGCAAAATAGTTTCTGCTGGGTATTGAGGGGGGGAGCGGGAGGGGGTGGAGTGGGTGGTAAGGGAGGGGGTGGGGGCAGGGGGGAGAAATGAACCAAGCCTTGTATGCACATATGAATAATAAAAGAAAAATGAAAAAAAAAATAAATAAAATAGAGTAATAGTAATATTGCTTATTCATACAATGAATTTGACAAATCCTCCAACCTTAAAGGAAGCTAGTTGTTAACTTGTACAGGAAGTAAAAGAATGGATAACAACACGGAGGAGGAAAAAAAGGTTAAAAATCAGGTATTTGTTTTCTGGGTTGATATTGAAAACTGCAGCTATTTAGCTTAAAACCTTTTGATGAAAACTTTAGTTTACCAAGTGTTTGCATGTACTGTTCAGGTAATATATGTAGAGCTGTGAATAGGAAGATGATTCCTGTCCCCTGGAGTTTCCAGTTTACTGTGAAAATAACTTTAATTACTGGTGTGATGAGTATTAATACGAATGGAAACACAAGATGTCACAGAAATATAGGGCTGATAAAGTCTTTTCTGGTGTGGTGATGTTTGAGGCAGGAACTACAGGATAAGATGGGCAAGTGAAATGACAGAGAGAATGTCTTGTATAAAGACCTTTGTGTAAAGAGTGACCTTTGAGGAACAGAGAACCAGGTAGACATAAGAGGTGAGGAATAGAGTAACAGATGAATCTAGAGAGGTACATAGGCATGGGAGAAATCCTGGAGAGAGTCTTTTATAAAATGTTGGTTCTTTCTCCAAGATGACTTCAATTTGTTAAAAAAAAAGAGTTGAGGGGCAGAAACAATAACAGCAATAACAAAAACGTTGGGGGGAGGGGGAACAGCCTTTATCAATTGCAGACCACATAGATTGGGTTATCTGAGTTAGATAATACAAACTAGAAGAGATGGAATTATTCTTTGCCTAAGTAAGATTATTTATAGTGTGTGCCTAGTAGCTATTTATAAGTTTGCAAAATTTTGTTCTTTCTGTAAATGACTTACTGACTGAAACAGAAGAATTATATCTACCAGCACTAGGTTAACATTGTTCTTTAAGGACTTAACCTTTACTTTGTTTCCCTAAAGGCTCAAAGCAGCTTTTACTGAATTCCCTACATCCCATTAGTAAAGGAACACTGAAGCTAAAAATAAATCTCAGTGAGATAATTTTGATTCCCAGAAGTTGAATATTCCTACATTGTAGAAAAAAACCAAGGTTGAGCTGAGAATAATTGAGACTCCTTTAATTTGGCATGTAAATAAAATTGCTGAGTACTACTCATTTAATATTACTGGAAATAATTTTTTTGTGAATCAAATCTGCTAAGTTTCTAGAAGCTGGATCATCTAAAGGTTTACAGCAGAAGAAATCCTTTTCACTTGTAGTTGAGATTCTGTGACCCATTTTGGGACAGAAGTTTTCAGTAATTGAAAACATTTCACCATTATCAGTGTCATCCATACTCTGTCCTGTTAGCAAGTTTTATTTCCTTTATAGCAGTTTCTGCTTTCTAAATAAGAAATACTAAATTACTTTATGTCAATTTATGTTTATGTGTAAAGTGATTTAAAAGTGCCTAAAAGGATCCAGGCATGGTGGAGTACACCTGTAATGCCAGGCAGAATTGGAGACAGGATCTAGTTTGAGGCTGGTCTAGGCAAAAGTTAGCAAGACCCTGTCTCAGAAACAAGCCAGGAGTGGTGGTGTGCATCTGTAATCCCAGTTACTTGTGAAGTGGAAGTAGGAAGATCTCAGTTTAAACCCAGAAAAATTAGCACAAGACCCTATCTGAAAAACAAAATAAAAGCAAAGAGACTAGGGGTGTGGCCCAGGTGGTAGTGTGCTTGTCTAACAAGTACAAGGCCCTGAGTTCAATCTCCAGTTTTGCCCCTTCCCCTCAAAAAATTGTGATTCATAGGAATCACAATCAATAACAGTATTAACAGATTAACATGAGTACACAACTGCCTGTGTAAGAAAAGGGAATTGGCTTTAAGTATTTCTGAAAAAGAAAAGCTGCTGTCTCTGAATCAACCTAGCTCAGCTTCCCTGATAATTTATTAGAGCCTCCTTTGGGGAAGTAGGCCAAAGCAGAGTTTTCCTTTGGATTAAAATAAGAGTCCTTAGCTGATGTAGGAAGTAGGGCATGGAAAAGAACACAGGAATTCTATTAGCAGGTGACCCAGGCAAATCTGTTCAAAATGAATCTGGGAGTCAGGGAAGGTGCATAATAGTGTTTGTCTTCTTTCTCTTTCCATTTTCTTTTTCTTGACTTTGTTATTCCAGAACTTGGGAGGCAAGGCAGGAGGATCATGAGTTCAAAGGTCAATTTGGGCTACATAGTGAGACCTTGTCTTAAAAAAAAAACAAGGGTGTTGCTCAAGTGGTAGAGTACCTGCCTAGCAAGTGTGATGTCCTGATTTCAAACCCCAATATTGCCAGCAAACAAACAAACAACAATAACCAAAAAAAAGAAAAAAGCATTAAAAAATGAATCTGGGGATGATTTACTTTCAATTGTCAGATTAAAGAGCCAATACAATAGCAAGAGCCATCGTAGTGAGGACAGTCCTTGAATATGCTGTTTCTGAACTTACAGCTCTTCAGTCTATATGGGGTGATATCTCAGTTATGTATATAATTGACCCTGCAGTTTCCCATGACCATCATTCTGGTGATTTGCTTTGCCTCTCCAAGGGTATTTGACTGTGTCCTTTATCTTAGTGCGAGTGCGTGTGTGTGTGTGTATGTATATGTGTATATGTTTTGTTCATTGTTTTGTTTTCAAGACTATGTATCCTGCTATATCCACGCTGGCCTGGACCTTGCTATGTAGCTTAGACTGATCTCCAACTCGCCATGCTCTTCCTCTGCCTTCCAAATGCTGGGATTA